GGTACACAGCAAGTTCTCCTAATAATTTCATAAGCTTAAGAGGCCAGAATTTGGGCCTTGTGCATTTGGCATAGGAATGCCTATTCCTAGCAGTGGCCGTACTGTTTTTACTGATCCAGTTGGCAGCAAAATGCATATACGTTGTTTACTAGTCATGCTATCTAAATTTGCTTATGTTTGAGTTCATAACAAGCTAATAATTAAATACTACTCAATGTGCTGCTTCTTTTATGGGTGCAACATCTTCTGCTTTGGCTACAGGACCAAAAAGGAGGCCTATAGAGAGTGGAAGCAGGGACGGATAGAATGGGCAGAATACAGAGAAAAGGTCCGAGTGGTCAGGAACGAGATCAGGCAAGCGAAAGCCCAGGCAGAACTAAATTTAACCAAAAAAGGAAAAAAAGAAGACCCAGGGGACTATAGGCCAGTCAGTCTCACCTCTGTGCCTGGCAAGATTATGGAGCAGATCCTCCTGGAATCTCTGCTAAGGCACATGGAAAATAGGGAGGTGATTGGAGACAGTCAACATGGCTTCACCAAGGGCAAATCGTGCCTGACAAATCTGGTGGCCTTTTATGATACTGCCACACTCTTGGTCGATAAGGGCAGAGCAACAGATGTTGTGTACCTGGACTTGTACAAAGCATTCCACACTGTCCTGCATGACATCCTGGTCTCAAAATTGGAAACTAATTGATTTGATGGATGGACCACTTGGTGGACAAGGAGCTGGCTGGCTGCCACACTCCAGGGTCCTGCACCTGGGACGTGGCAACCCCAGGCACAAATACAGGTTGGGCGGAGAACGGAGCCTATAGGAGAGCTGGGGAGGGACTAGGTGATCTTTAAGGTCCCTTCCAACCCAAACCATTCTATGATTCTACAGACAGAGAAGGTTTCATCACTGTGGAACCCCTGATGAGCAGTGCATTCAGCTGATGAGCAGTGCAGTCCTGGCTGTCCTGAGGATAGTGCTGCTCCACGGTTACCCTGACAAAGTACCATTTCTTCTATAGGTGCAGACTGGGCAGAGAGCATCAAGTTTTGTATATGTACGTACTTATAGAAAGACTTTGCTTAATCTCTTGTAGATGATTAATTCTCCTTTTTAAAAAGTGAAGAGGAATACATGGATATGTGTCACCAAAATCTGCTCTCATGAAGATTAACTGTTTGTAATCTATTTTAAGTATTTTAAAAGAAAAAAAGAAAAAGTGTGCTTTGAATCCCCAATGTATAGATCACTTTAGCACTGGGATACTTTCCTGATAGGATTCTAAATAGCATGAGGGGGTTTTGTTGTGATGAAATAGGCATGGTAATGCTATCTTCTGTAACTAATGAACTGACCAGCTGTTGAGCAGGATTTTATTAAATATAGAACAGAAAAAATGTGTTTTTAATGAAGCTGAAATACTAAAAGTACTAAGACTATTAAAATTTTTATGCCTATGTAAATGGGTGGGAGGTTAGTCCTTTTCCAAAGAAATATGCTAATCATTTTTAAGGGTAGAGGCAGTTCTGTTTTAAATTGGGGGATGTTTATCACAAAAGGTGTAACTGGTGTGTTTAAAACAACAAAACAAAAAAAAAGGAGAAAACACAACCCTGGTGTGTTGGTTCAGTAGTGGTGAGATTTTTGCAGGTTGGAGTTGAATTTCAGGAAGAACATAACAAAGCTGTTCTTTATCAAAGGCTTTCTTGTCTTGTATATCTTTTCACTTTCACCCTGTTTTTCACACTTGGTGTTTAGTTTTGGTACATTAGCTATTCTCAGTAAAGCAGGAGGAATTATCTTCCTAATGGTTTCCCAAAGAACTTCACAACTATGACATATCCAGTTTCCAGAGGGGTGCTGGAATTATTTCAAGAGTTGTCTTAGAGTCAGACCACCTCATTCCAAAGCTTAAAAAAAAAACCTCTAACCAAAAGGCTGTCATTCTTTAGAGGCACATACGAATATGTGTTTCCATATCCTCTTTAGACATGACTCCCATTGTGCATTTTGAAGACTAGACGAGGAAAAGGCCTTCGTAGTTAGCAGGATCAGCTCCTTTGAGAACATTTTTAAGGAAAGGAGAAGAATAAGGAAAATATACCACTGCCTTAGGTTTGGGAATGGCTTACTTAGTATGGACAGAGAGATAACTAGTCACCTAGGAAATATTAAAGTCCATGAGTGATTACAGTAGACAAATGTGTGTTTATTGCTTCAACTGTTGCTCGCTTCAGTTATTAATTTCCTGTCGAGACAGAAATATCACAGAGATGTTTCTGTGCTGCTGTCTTCGTGCAGCAAGATATCTCCTTGATATCTTTTGACCACTTAGATAGCAAATAATGAGTCATTATTAATGTGTGTTAATCATTAATTGTGGAATAGTTGTGTTGCAGTCCTTGACAACTATCAACTCTAGGACTATACACATACTGAAGTCAGTGTGGGTGTGCCATGGAAAAGCAGTGGGAAGGACAGAGATTCTTCTCCTGTGCACTTTACAAACCTCCATGGCCACCAGTAGTGCTGTAAAGTTAATTAGTTAAGTATGTGTTATTGGGCACTCATCAAGTTGCTAGCCACTGGAATTGCTTAAATGGCAGTAAAAATAGGGCTGGTTTGTGGTGCTTGGTGGGGTTTTTTTGCTTTTAGCACTAGAAATAGCGGGGGCCGTTCTTCCATCTGTCAGTGAATTTCAATCCTTTCTAAATGGCAAAACTCTAAGATTTCCTGTCTACCTTTTTACAGTTTTTGAGTGAATTTAAGGCTTTTTTTTTTTTTTTTTTTTTTTTTTAAAAAAAATAAAAAATTCCCCATCCTGCAGAATTCAGAAATTTCCTTACTAGTAGTTCTCAAATACTGGAAATACTTTTGAAATTGTTTACTGAATGACTGTTCTTTTGCTTGGACCATGGGGGAATGCTTTGTATGCTCAACCTTTTTTCAGTTTTTGGGTGAATTTTAAGCTTTTTTTTTTTTTTTTTTCTGCTTATAAACAGAATAGAAAAGTCACCAGCTGCATTTAAGTAGATCATACTCCTAGGTTAGACATAGACTGGTTTTTGTAATTGTCCTTGTTTCTGTTCTAGAACTTTAAAAAGAAGGCTGTTAAAACATGGCAGTGATAGGTTTGCTTTCTTATTCAGTGTTTTCCACTTCTCAAACAACTGATAATTGGGGAAGAAATGCTGGCTGTTATAGCCACAGATCTTATTGCTGTAAAAGACACCATCAGTTCTTACTTCAGATTAAGTCACTGAGGGGATCAATCTTGAATATTTCAGATTTCTTTCTAAAGTTATGTTGTGTTAAACTATGGAATTTTCTATATTTTACCATACCAGATACTGCATGAGAATACTAAAACTTTCTGTTTTTAATGAAATAACAATAGTCTACTTTTTAGTCAGCTGAAGAGTGTCCCAAGGCTACAGTTAAATAAACTGCAAGAAGTAAAACTTCCCTCTGCCATTTCTTGGAAAATTAACTTAAGTTTATGGAGAGCAGCATTAAGCAGAGTCCTTCATTTTCTTGGTTGAAGCCATTCATTTTCTTTATTGAGGTATTTTAAGTGTGGAAAAAGTCAACTCGAGGGCTTCATAATCTTTTTCACTGTACTTGCAGTTCTTTTTCTGCACCGTTCCTCCTTCAGGCAAAAAGTGGCTACAAATTGTTCTTTTAGCAACGTAAAAGCGTGGTACAATCGCTGCCTTGGCTGCTTTTGGTTTACAGTGTAATGCACATCCACTTCTACAATCGATAGTAATCAATAATGCTAAATGCACACACAAGACATGTCGGAAGATAAGTGGTCCAAAGGTATTTCTGTCCCTTTGCAGAACTGCTGCTTCAACTGAAAGCAGAAGATCTAGAGGGAATTTTAACAAACAGGGAGCAGCGCTAGCAGGCATCTGTGTAATTATCCTATTAAAACAGAGTAACATCTGCATTATCTGTGCAAGTGCAGAATGGAAGGGAATATTATGTTCTCTAATCCTGTCTGGGAGCGTTATGAAGTTAAAAGGATAATATTTTACCAAATCTGTGTTTTAACATGATAGGTTACACTTAATTACCTTTTAATTACCTATCTTCTCGTTGGGTTTTATGCTAAGGACCCTGCCTCTGGCCCTCATCGCAGAGCTTTTCTTGCCTTTGGATTGTTTATGCCAGGTTTCATCTTTGATTTTACCATGAAAAGATGGTCTTACTCTGTCTTGAAGGCTGATATTGCAATTCTTTTTCCCTAGTGTGTGAAAATCTCAGAGGATATTAATTTTGTATACAAAAGGCATGCTGTAGCGTTCAGAAGTATGTGTTTTGAATTTAGTCGCAACAAGCAAACTTATTGGACTGTGTGTTAGGAATAAGGAGTAATGATGTGTGGTAGAGGCCACACTGGAGCAAGAGGAGATCATTCCAGTCTTCTGACTGCTTGCAGTGTAAGGCAGGAGAGTGTATTGGCTTTAATAATGTAGATTTCTTTTTTCTTCTGTACCCCTGAGGGAGTCTGATTTCCTGATCACCTATCTAGCCATATGCCGGAGCTCTTGCCAGAAACTCCGAGCGGTGTCAGTGCCAGCTAAAATTACTTGTTTTCTGAGAACTGAATTATGTTGAGAATTGTCTTCAATTGCTGCGCTGGCAACATCGCAAAGTTTTGTGTACACACACACACACAAAAAAATTATGTAAAAGTAGCCTTACCTTGAAATTCAGCTTAGAAACCACTTCAAGCATTGAATTTGATCCAGATAGTGAGAGGTGTTCTACACCTGCTCAGGCGCATCACGCCCTCTTTGTTCTCCTTCCAGTGCTTTTCTCAGCTCCTTTGTGCTCTGGCTGGTACAGTACAATGTTGATACATACAAATTAAACATTTACAAAGAGAGCATATTGTCTACGCCTATTCTGTACCAGTTAGAGCAAAGACCTAGTATAGTTAGTGAAACCTTCTAATACGTTGTGATAACTGTGCTTCTTTTCTTTCTTCTTGCAACAGGATGGAACTGAAATACGGACATACGTTGACTAAGGAGTTGGAATAAGACTGAGTCCTGCTCTGTGATATTTGTATACCTGGACCATGAACTTGCTGTTTGGCTTCATTCTTTAGGAACCTTTGTAGTAACTCTGTGAAGCTGTTGGGAATCATGGCATTCTCTCCATGGAAGTTGTCCTCTCAGAAACTCGGCTTTTTTCTGGTGACTTTTGGTTTCATTTGGGGAATGATGCTTCTGCATTTTACGATTCAGCAACAAACACAACACGAAAGCAGTTCAGTCCTGCGTGAGCAAATTTTGGATCTCAGCAAAAGATACATCAAAGCGTTAGCCGAAGAAAATAAAAATGTGGTTGATGGGCCTTATGTTGGGACAGTGACAGCATACGGTAAGTGTGTGCTCTAGATTACATGATAATCTGATTAAGGGTTTTTCTAAATTGTCCAAACATTTGACTTCATAATGTTGCTCAATTGACAGTATTTTGCACTGTGCATTTTCTGCACAGATGGAGAAAACAGTCTGAACTTGTAAGTATGAAATTTTACATTCCCAATCACTTGGAAATTAAATTGTCTACTTATTTTTACTACATCTGTCCAGTAGCTATAACTGGTATGCCTCAGGTTATTTGTTAGAACTTCATTTAAGAAAAATTTGGAAGGTATTTCAGTTTGTGTGTCAATGATCTAAGTAAGAAATTCCTGTGGAAGAAGAACTTGCCTTACAGATGAAGTGGAGACCTCCTACATTCATTTCTTCTTCTTTCCCATTTCATCTTTGTTCAGTCAATTTACTTAACGTTTAAGTTTACGTGTCTGGCATAAGCTCAAATTAAGCTTAAATATATCATATTTGCCTCAGGGTATAGAACTCTGTATGTTTCATTGCTTTGCTCAGCAGTAAATTTTAACACTTACTCTCTTCCATTTTGTACAAGATGAGGGTTAAATTTGGGTGCATGTGTGAGAGAAAGCATGCAGAAAAGAACAAAACATATTGGCCAGAAAATATTATGAAAATAAAAATATAATCCAATTTCACGTTAGGTGTGGCCACTTTTCAATCTGATAAAATCACATTGTGCACCTTACTTGTTGAGCCTTTTTAAAACTCACTTGCTTTCTTGCTTACCTTTGCACTTTCAGACTATCTGGAAAATTACTGTCTAATTAGTCATCTAGATTTGTTTCCTTTTATAGTTGCCTTAATATTCACCTCTGAAGAAATAGTATAGATGTCTTTTGTAAGCTTAGACAAAGAATAAAGACTAGCATGCAACAGATAATAGCTGCACCTTTTTCTCTAGTTTTCTCTTAATACTCTTTACTTTTTGGTGCATGTGCTGAAAATATCCCGCTGGGAAGTTCTTTCTGTATCTTGTTTCTGTTAACACTTTTTTTCCTCTAAAAAAAAAAAAAACAAAACTTTTCAGTTTGTGTGAAAGGGAAGTTCTTTCTGTATCTTGTTTCTGTTAGCACTTTTTTTCCCTCTAAAAAAAACAACTTTTCAGTTGGTGTGAAGTTGCTTGCCTGTAAGCCTGAGATTATCATCGCAAACATAACTAACAATTATATTGCTTTGTTGCTTAAATGACGAGCCATCCTGTCGTGGTTTAACCCCAGCCAGCAACTGAGAAGCACGCAGCTGCCTGCTCACTCTCCCCTGGTGGGATGGGGGAGAGAATCAGAAGAGTAAAAATGAAAAAAACTTGTGGGTTGAGAAAAAGCCAGTTTAATAAGTAAAGCAAAAGCCATACATGCAAGCAAAGAAAAACAAGGAATTATTTCACAGCTTCCCATCATCAGGGAGGTGTTCAGCATCTCCACGGCAGCAGGGCTCCATCACAAGGAGTTGTTACTTGGGAAGACAAACTCTGGAACTCCAGACGTTCCCCCCTTCCTCCTTTTTCCCCCAGCTTTATGTACTGAGCAGGACGTTGTATGGTTTGGGATATGCCTTTGGTCAGTCGGGCTCAGCTGTGTCCCAGCTGTGTCCCCTCCCAACGTCTTGTGCCCCCCCAGGCTGCTCGCTGGCAGGGTGGGGTGAGGAGCAGAAAAGGCCTTGACTCTGTGTGAGCTCTGCTCAGCAATAACGAAAACATCCCTGTGTTATCAATGCTGTGTTCAGCACAAATCCAAAGCATAGCCCCATACTAGCTACTATGAAGAAAATTAACTCTACCCCAGCCAAAACCAGCACACGTTCTGTAACTTCTACTGATTTGTGACTGCATGTTGAGCTATGCGGGTAAGTTAATCTTACATAAGCTAAATAGAGTGGTACTAGATCAATATTTAGATTGAAGACCTCCAATCCTTAGAGAATTGTGTGTGTGTGTAGGCTTAAAACAAAACACTACCTGCTATACAGCTGTCATCAGTGTCCCGTTGTCTTGCGCGGGTGCTTGATGGTAGGTGAATTGAAGAAGGAAAACAAAACAAACACAAAAAACCAAACCAAAACAGTATGTCTCAAGAAATTGAAGGGTAAGTGCAATGGTCTGTGCCCTAACTAGGTCTAAGGGTAGGGAATATCCCTAAGATAAGTTCTCCCTGCAGCTTGTTGCCTGAGGCATTCATTTCCTGTTCCAAATCCTGCTGAGGAGTAAACTGACTTCCTGCCGAACAGTGGTCAATTTCCCCAGGAGAAGTTAAACTGCATTTGAAAGTTGGCGAAATAAGTTTGTAATGCTTTTGTAGAGGTAAAGCTACGTTTTGTGTAGAAATGTCAAGTTTCGTGGCTAAGAAGAATTTTAAGTTTAAAGACAAGTTTGGACAGGTGTTTTCAATTAAGGAGCTTGGAAGGATGCAAAATAATGGTAATATATTTATTTAAAATATTAGAGTGGTGCTATGATGAGTGAATAACACCACAGTGAATAATACAATATGAAACTGAGTAATATAATAATTACTTAATAAGTTAGTTTGTCCTGTTTGGCATACCAAATGATTGGCTGATAGCAAACGATCAGGTTCGCTATCCAGGAATAAACACATTAATGTTAATGATAATGGGTAGAAGTTGCTTCACTGTTCTATGAAAATTAAAGCCCTTGCTTTGTGGTTGCACAGATTCTTCACTTTTTATCTTTTTCTTTCTACCATATATTGACCTGTCAGGTAGGTGAATCAAATACTTCCCTTTTAAAAGTTGTAGTCCAAATATACGTAGTGAGTATTAAAATTTTATAGCAATAAACAGTAGTTTGCCAAAAGTTGCTATGAATCTGTGCTTCTGCCCTCCCCTTCTCAAACTGGCCTCCAGTTCCTTTTTTGTTGTGGTAAGCAGTCTCCCATACCGGTGTTTTGGTATCAGTGTTAAAAAATTACAATGTTTAGCCATTTTTCTCTTTATACTCTGTATATGCCTTTATGTATGCCAAGTTTCTTCCTCATTGTTTCCTGGTTCTTTTTTTACTACCTTTTTTTCCTACTTCTGTACCATGGTTTTGCTCATAGTAAATCCCTGCTCCACTCTTCCTTTGTCTTCTGCACACTACGTGACTTATGGACCCCTTTTTAGACAGTCCAGATCACTAGTACTCAAGATTACATCTTCTGATCTTTAAAGGACAAAGGAAAACACACTTATAAAGAAGAATATCTGCTTTATGATGCCCTGGAATAAATATAGCTCTCCTTTTATTTGGAAAAAAGAATCATAAGCTTTCTAAAAGTAATAGCCTTTTCTTATTTACTCTCTTGTTTGCACAAGAATTGGGCTAGTCATGGAAAAAAAATAATAAAGGGAGCACAAAATAAGCATGGCAAAAACACAGTTGATGTTTGGGCAGAGGTATCTCTTCAGATGTATGGGGAAATTTTCTATTACAGATCAGAAAGTTGTTTGATTCTAAAGTTGTGGAAAGTAGAAAATGTATTAAACATATGCACATGTAATTATTTTATGTAATTAAATGGGAAAATAATGTAAATTCATCATAACAAATTCTTTAATCCTGAGACAAGGGTAATTGAGCAAAGAACAATACTTTCTTTCATCTTCTTTGGCTTGTTGCCACCATAATTATACAGTTTAGTCTGACAGTGGTCTATTTTTCCCATCTTGCCCACAGTTCTTTTAGCTTCCCCAGCTGTCTATGTTACTTCAAGAAATCTGAAAAAAAGAAAAGGGAAAGAAAAAATATCAGAGAACAGGTGTTGGTATGCAAACTCCTGTTACTGTATGTTGCTTTCGATGCAAAGGAAGTGCTGTGTCAGACCAAACAGATAGGTAGAGGCAATCGTCAACAGACTGAAGGAAAGAAGCAGGTGATTTATGGTGGTTTGTCTGTATGACGGAAAAGTTGCACTTCACATGTTTTTTTTGCCAGTCCAGAACCTGGTTGTGGTGGAGAGAGATGCAAAAGCATTTGTACTGGCTGAAAGCTGGCCCTTCTTTTGGGAGGGGGATTTTTGTTTCCAGGCACCTGAAAAATCTAACAAACTGTTCCTCTGATAGTGCTTAAATATGGATTTAAGTTTAGATTCATTATTATCTACACAATTGCAAAGCATGCATTTTTTTGTTCCCGTGTGTGTATCCATAAGTTGCACGCTTCACCTTGAATATAAGATATGTATCTGAGTTGCAGCGTGCTTTATAAAATACACAGGAAGACAAGTTCCAGGAAAACTTGTATCTGAGGCTGAACAAGTGGGGAACATTAACGCATAGAACGGCTAATGACAAAGATTTGCACTGAAAAAGTGTCTATGTATATTCCAGTCTCATTCTTGTATCTATTTTTGATTCTATCTGACAGAGTGCATTGCATTATTAAGCAATTTAACTTTTCATTTCCACTTGTAGATTTGAAGAAGACACTTGCCGTCTTGTTGGATAACATCTTGCAGCGCATTGGGAAGCTGGAGTCCAAGGTGGAAAATCTTGTGCTTAATGGAACGGGAGCAAACTCCACCAACAATACTAGCACTCCTGCTCCCATCTTAGGAGCAGTTGAAAAGCTTAATGTAGCAGGTGGGTATGGCAATTGTTTAAAGTATTTATGGGCTATTAAATCTGTATTTTTCCTTCTTGGCCATAACAAGATTTTTCAGTGTTAAGTATTTGGAATGTCTTAGAAAACAAAATTCAAAGTCTGGCCTGTTTCAATGGAAATCTTAAGTCCAGTGGTATTTTACAAGCTCAGAGGAAGACTTTCTTCTATGGTAACTTAAACAAGTAGAAGAAAATAAAATTCTGTGCCAAGGGAGTATGGTTTACCTTGTGCATAGTAGACGTTTCATACTTTAAATAGTTGTAGTTTAGAAAGATGAAATTGAGCAGACGTTTGCTCTCTAAGCCTAATTACTTGGGTTGGTACAAATCAGCTCTGCATTTCTATCACGTGCACTTTATTAGTTCTTAACTATAAGCAAACATTTATGTTTGTTGCTGCTTCTCATTTAAAATGTCCTTCCCTACTCTGCTTTAATAGCTGTTATGATTTGACACACAGACATGACCTACCTGGTACCTTCAGCTTAAATAAATGTTTTGTAATGTCATTTGAAGTCATTAATTTTGCCTTCAGTGAATGGACTGTTCACTACCCTTATGACTTCTCAAAGCATTTGAGTCACCCTGTGATGGTAAAAGGCCTTGCTGTCCCCCTCACTTGTGGTCTCTTAGTGTTCCCAGCTATGAATGTGGTTGCTACACTGTATAAACTTGGTGTTCATACTGCATTTTGCATATTACCCTGCATTTTGCTCTGCCACCAAATCGAGACTCACAGGAAGTTCTGGGTCTGTGTTGCTAAAGATCTTTGTGGTACCAAAAAAGGAGAGGAGCAGAAGCGTTAGGGGAACTTGGTAAACAGGTTGATAGCTGTGCTCCTAAGTCTTGCTTGTGTTTGGGTTTCCTGTAAAAATAAATACTTCTGTCGAGAAGGTGTTACCTTCTTAAATTTGTCAAAACATTGGAGATGGTACCTTTGTTAGGGTGATGCCACTGAAAGGAGGTCAGGGAGAGCAGATGGACAAGTGATTACCCAAGTACAGTGTTCCAGAGTTGCTGTCTCAGCTGCTCTGTCCTAACCTCATTCGTCTGTACCAGGACATTAAAGGCATATTATCTCTTGGTGAGACAGACCTTTGTGTCTCTTGCCACACAGTAAGAACATGCTTGTAGACATTTACAACAGCCCTTTGCATGTGTGGATGACTACTGCTTGCCTTGTGCTACCTTTTTTTTCCCCCGTGCCTCTTGTCTTGGTTAAGCTGAAGGCAGATCAGAAGCAAGTTGAAGATGTAGAGCACCTGCAGACTACTAATAGGATGAGCTGTGTTGGTCCCACAAGGAGTCCAACACAAGGTCTTTGTTGGAAGATCTTCCACTCTGATGGAAAGTGAGCTATTGTTATCATTTCTGGGCTATATATAAAATCAAAAACATCCCTGTATATTTTCTTTTTGTAGCTGGACAAAAGAGAGACTTGACAGTGTTATTTCAACAGATTTGCAGATAGTTGGAGGAAGTATACTCATGTTGTTGTTTATACATTTATAGGTAAAGGATCATTGTTGGTATCTGTGTAGGAAACATCTCTCATCAGTTCTTAGGGTGAATTGAATTTTGTTTGTTATTCTTGGAGTTTGCTAGATTCACACTTTTACTGCTGATGAGCAACCTTTAAGGAGCTTGGTAGCAGTTTTCAGACTGCGGTATTTACGTAACTTTTTGCTGCCTGAGGCTTGCTCTGTGGCAACGAACACTATTTTTATTAGCTATTATTAGAACACTAAGTTTAAAATATCTGAACCAACTGTATTAAACAGCAACAACAGAAAAACCTTTAGGAAACCATTTCTTAAGGTTTGATTAACGTATTGTTCCAGTGCCTGTTTGGATAATGGGACTGTTCAGATATCTCCCGGCTGGAGAGTACCAATGGGTAGAATAGGGCTTGAAGCTAATCCCTGTGTTAAAATGCTTTCTATTCATCCATTTGAAGCAATCAGTGGAGATTCATCTGATCCGAGGCAGCAAAATAGAAATTAAAAACTTGTTTCTACTTCTGTCTTCATAGCAGTTTCCTGACAGTAGCAAACTCTGGAAGCCATATGATTCCAGTAAAATTGTAATATAAGTATCTTCTCTGTTAGGAAGGAATTGTTCAGAAAATAAGGTAGGTGAGTAAATAACGTGATTACACTATCAGCTGCAGTGGTGGTTTTGTCTGTAATATTTCAACAACATCCTTTTCTGCTGTGCTAGAGCAATTGAGATAATCTGAAAATCATTGCAGGGAGCGCACTTTGTCACCCAACAGTTTGTTGCTTTATTGGAACTGAAATATGTATGTATACAAATACACATCACACTTCCATTGTTTTCTTTATAATGGTTTATTCAGCTGTTACACTACCAAGTGATCACAGAAAGCAAACATGTTAGGATTACTCTTTCTCTCTTTATCAGCTGTAATATTTTAATGCTGACTTTAGACACTTTCATGTTAGCTATTGTTAGTAATTTCACTCTGTCTGAACAAACACAGTATTTATGGATAATCCTAATAATATCAAGTCTAATATTTTTAGTAATGTTTTTTAAAGACTTTGTGAGTTGTTTTGTGTTTTTTTAAATCTTTTTTGCCTTGCTTAAAACTCTGAAGTAAATTAAGCATTTTATGGCCTCATCCATCAGTGCAACAGTGCAGTGTCATTAGCAGACTTTCCTCGAAGGGTCCTGCTTCCACTGGAGCTACTTCATGCATTTATTATTTCTGGATTGAGCTGTCACACTACACTGAGACCTGATTCTATAATCTGGGTAATTGTGTCCCTTTACCTATGGAAAGCCTTTCTGGAATAAATGAAGCTTCATGCAGGCTTAAGCTGCACCTTAGCATTTATTGACATGGCTTGTAAAACTTGGTAGTAAATAGTGGAGTCACTAATCATTGTGAAATCTGCATTTTTTTTCCGCTGACATTGTGTAAAGTTTACTGTGTGTTATAAACTACCAGAGGAGATCAAGTGATAAAATAAGACATAGGAGAATGACAGGAAGGTGATTATATTTTAAATATTTGATTATGACTGGACACAAACATAAGAGCAAACCAGTATTTTTATTGTAATTTAAAACTGTCCAATGTGGCAGGCTGGACTTGTCAACCTGAACATGCTGTGGGCTTTTCTTCATTGTGTATTTTAAGTGTTAGTAACGCTTGGGGAAAAAACTAGTATTCTTCTATCTAAAAAATAGGAAGAACAGAGATAATAGTGATTAGTCAACATTTCTCCTCCTAAAGCTTCTCGGTAAGTGGAATTTTCTTTTATTAGATACATTGCTGTATTCAGAAAGCAGCCCAAAGAACAGTATCCATATGCTACAGGTGAATCATGATAATGCAAGAATCCTGGCCTAGTTCCAGGGTCAAGCTATTGAAATCAGTCCAGGTTATGGTTTCATTTGACCTTAATAAACACAAGTGGTATGTGACTGTGACTCAGATTTATGCAATGAAAAAAATAATTTCTTTGAGATTAAGGAGGCTGACAATTGGATCAGGTGTGGATTTTTAAAAAATGATTCTCCTCCTGTCCACCTTTTCTGTATAGACAACTAGAACAATAGTATAAAAAGGGGGAATATTTATAGTATTAGAATGTATGGATGTTTTCTTCAGTTCATATATATGTTGTTTCTAGTTTAGCTCAGATCTTTGTTTGAATGTGACTGTGTGAGTAATCCAGGTAACAACGAAGAGAGAATGTATGAGGAGAAATGGTTGTTGGCTACAAAGTGGTTGAAAAATCAATTTGTTTAAAATACTGACATTTCTCAGTGAACCAAAATCAGAGGGCGTTTAAATTTTGGCTAGTATACATCTTGAGGGCAAAATGTCTGTTGGTCCAGGAAGGTTTGGTTTTATAGTTACTAAATTTGCAAGGTTACTTCCAATGTGCTACATTTGAGCTAAAACTACCCTCTTACCACAGCCCCTTGATATTGCAACACAGAATCTACCATCCTTCTTTCTAACGAGGAAAAAACCACAGTCTTCTGTGCACTTTTTGATACTTTTAATATGAGTGGTTGCTGCAGCTGCCTGGGCAATAAATTTGAGTAGTTCATGTTCCCCTAAGGAACAGATCTGCTCTGTGCTAGTGGGAAGCATTTGCCTGTAACTCGATGAGAGTGTTAATAAAGGAATACACAGCCTTTGCAGCCTTGCAGGTGTAAAAGCAGATGAAAATTTTCCCCTGAACCCTATGGATGAGAAAAGACCTAATAATAATGAGTTTTGTAGCTCCTTTTAATACAACTAACTGCTGTTTCTAGTCAGGATGTCATTTGAAGGATTACCAAATGGCTTCTAAAACTTTTATCAGCAACTTCTGCAGGTATTCCTGGTGATAGCACCAGTAGCAGAAAGATGAATTCGGACAGTTTCTTGGAGAAAAGAAAAAACATTAGGGAAGTACCTGACTATCAAAGATGTTTTTGATTAAACAGTGTTAAAAAACCCAAACAAACCAACAACAACAAAACCCAAAACAATTAAACAAAATAAGTGTCGTTTTGACAATGGAAAGTGTTAGGCAATGTGAGCCACAAAGTCTGGGGAGGTCCAGATAAGCATTGGACCGGGAGGTGTTATAACATGGAGGATTATGCTAAAATAATCCATTATAAATGACTTCATGAAGGAATGAGCAATACCCTCTCCAAAAGAGCCTGTCAGCAAAGGAAGAAGGAGGCACTGGCTTGGGAAATAATCAAACTGTTTAAGTTTGGAAAAATATCAATCTTTGTTTTAGGGTTATTTTTACAGCCCAAAGTGGAATAATCTCTGGCCAAGCAGTAGCCATCATGGCTATTTATGCCTTATAACAGCCTAATAGAAATGTTTGTGGGTTCCTAAAAGCAATTTTGACCAATTTTTAGCCTGTGCTTTGACCACTGTAGTCTGAACAAACAATTCATGTTATAGGTATTACTTGATACAGAGCCCATGACCTCTT